TTGGCTTCTGTTGATTTTGAATACTTTTTTTTTCATAATTAAAAGTTTCATTTTCCTGACTTTTCACACATCTAGTAGTTTTTTATTATACTCTGTGTACTATGAATGATACATTATAGGGAGCCTGGCCAATGTTGTCTTCTTTTAAAGGTTGTTGTATTTAGTTCTGCCAGGAAGTTAAATTACCAGAAGATTTGCTCGATCTTGGCAGGCTTGGATTTAGTCTTTGTTAGAGCTGGTCTTTTCCAGTTTTGTCCTTACTCTTCAAGTAATGACCTTTCCGAGTTTCAGTTGAATACCTGAAGTGCTCAGCCTTATTTCTCTACTCTGGCTACATTGGATTGCAATGTTTCCCAGCCTGGACAACCTTTGGTATTCAGCTCCCAGACCTATGGCAGCTTCTCCTTGCTAAGTTTCACAGAATCTTGTCCTGCGCACATATAACCAAGGATCCTCAGAAAATCTCCAGGCAGACTTCTGGGCCCTCCCTCTGTTCAGCTACTCCCCAGGATGTTGATTTGCTTCAGTAGTCTTCACCTTTCTTTGACTTCTGCATTTTTAGCTCAACACTACTTCAATGTATTGCATGGGCTTCATTTTCCTCACCCATGCCTGCACATGATCCAAGGCAGGGCTGAAGTAGACATGAGATTCACCATATGTTCTGTGAAATTCAGAGTATTTTCCTTGATTTTCAAAATGGTGTTATTAGCTGATTAGTAGGAAGGAATTCCAGATTCCTTTTTTTTCTAGAGTTTTCAGACCTTATAATTTCAAAAGCGAAGTCGAAGCAAGGAAGGAAGTGAGGAGGGCATCACATACCAGGGTGACTTATGCCCCAAATTGGATTATTAGCACACTGTGAGATGATACAGTACTAGTCTCAGAGGGCTAATATGTCAAATTCCTTCCAATTTATTATTTTTATGGTATGCGCCTGAAAGTTCTGTGTTTTTCGTGGTCTTGGAAGCAAAACAGGACCAGGGTCTCTTATGAATTTTCCTGCCTTGACCCAGGAAAATGTTTGCTTTTGTCCCAGACTCTCTGATCAGGGTTTGCCCCCCATCCCCCACTCTCATCACTTCTGTTCAGTGGTAGATTTCAGAAATCAAATACTATGAGGCAATACTTAACTGCCAGCCTTCATTCCTTCATATCTGTTTGTTGAATACTTACTCTGGCCCAGACACCTTGATAGAACCTGAGGATAGAGAGACAAAAGGCCCAATCAATGCCTTCGAAGTACCTACAATCTAGATGCTTAAATAAATGTGATAAAATATGGTTATGGTCTTTGATAGAGGTCAGCTGTGTAAACACAGAAGACATACTTGACTAAGGCTGGGGAGAGGGAGGGTGTCTGGGAGGGCTTCTTGGAGGTGGTACTGTCTAAACTGAGTTTTGAAGTGGGTGAGGGTGGGAAATAGGGATTGGAAATAGGATTGGAAAATATATTAAATACCTTAGACAGCTACCTCTATAAAAATGTAGGAGCCCAGAGAAACTCAGAAATTTAAACAGGGTGCAATGTGCCAGCAACTTGAATTTGAGGTAGAGACTATAGGTCAAGTTTGAGAAGGCAGGGTCAGTTAGAGCAGGGATTTCTAATAACCAACAAACAGGGCATGTCATCCAACTGCTTTGAACCATTTTCCTTTTGTGAATTTTAATTTTTTAATCTCTAGAGCAATACATGTTTATGATAAAAATATGTAGACAGGTAAAATGAAGAGAATTATACCACTCACAATCCTGCCATAAAACTTCTTTTAACAAGTTACAAATTCTTCCAGATCAAAGTTTTATTAAACTCTGCTTGCTGTTTTATAACCTGGGGTTTTGTTGTTGTTGTTGTTCAGTTAGAATTTTAGAAATACTTTTGCATGTTAATAGATATTCTTTTGCATTATTTATCATGTCTGAATAGTAGCATTTCTTTAGTTATACCATCATGTGTTACAACATTCATACATAGTTGTAAACGTATTTGAATATTTCAATGTTTGGCTATTAGAAATAGTATTTAGATGAACATTCTCGCCCATACAGTTAATTATTTCCCTGAGTCCCTGTCAACAGCTTTATTAAACCTCAATCTTAAGACAGCAAGCTTACAAAATATACATACCTAGAATAATTAGAAATCAAGGCAAGACATTACATAATCATCTTCCTATTCATTAATCATTGTTGGTTGTTGCGACACCCTAAATGGTGACCTTTCCCACACTCTGCCTCATAGTATTTGATTTCTCAAATCTACCACCTGCAAATGGGATGAATTACATCACAACGAGGTGATGAAGCAGAGTTGAATTCAGTTTAACAGACAGCTGGGGCTCTGTGTGCCAGGGAGGGGCTGAAGGAACCCTCCCAGCTCAGTCTGGGGAGGGCTGTGCCACATTATGTGTAGTAAATGGCGTGAGAGAATTATGTCTAAAGTTCTCGGTGCCCAGAGGAAGGTACACACAGCTCAGTGTGGCAGGTCTGGTGAGGTCGGAGCAATTGCTTGGAGAAGATGCCATGCATGGAATGACCACCACGTTGGGCCACCACAGGGAGCAAACAACAAATCCAAGAGGGGTTTGGAGTGGGGCGAGTAGTTCAGCCAAATGATATCTAAGATGCTTTCCAATGCGGCAAACTTGTCCTTCTCTAAAATAATCAACTGCTTAACAGACTCTTTCACTTGCATTATGTCATTTAAGCCTCACACTGCCCCCATGAGAAAATAGATGTCATTCCCATTTGTACCAAGAAGTAACTGAGGCTCCCACTGGTCACAGACGGAGGAGTCGGGAATCCAAAACGAAGTCTCTTCTACTCCCACCACACCCTAGGTTTTATCATTACATCTCATCACTGCTGTGGGCTGAATTTCTTATCAGGTGGTGTTTCCCTTCCCCGAAGTGTTTTTCCCTTTTAGTCTGTTTATCCTTTAGGGAGAGAAGGAAGAAACATTTATGGAGACCCCACCAATGTAAGCTCCGTGTTCTGAGTTTTACATAAATTATCTCATTCAATCCTCAAAACAGCCCAACGAGAAGCACCGGCAAGTCAGGCTTGCCTGCCCAGGTTAAGTAATGTGGCCAAAGGCATCCAACTAAAAGGTAATGGAGCAAGAACTTTACCTGGAACCAGAGGCCACGTGTGCCCTGCCCTACAGCCCAGGTCGTTTATCTTTTCCTTGCTGAACCTCCGCTGAGCCACGTCAGAGTCCTCAAGGTTGGAAGAGTGGTCCATGATCATAAACAATTCTATTGCATGACTTCAGCTACCTGCGTGGCTTCAGCTACCTGCGTGGCTCCCACTCTGGCCTGACCCATTGCTGTCCTTATCCAGCACTTGCTCTGCAGAGGGACACTGTTAGATTTAGGACGTGACTGTCCATAGGGCCAAATTAGGACAGTCCTCCCGTCCTAGACCCCAAGTACCGGCATGGACTGCTCCTCCGCTTTTCTGTTTAACTGTTAAACAACATTATGAGATTGCCTGTCGACGGGAAGGGAGCGCTGGGGGTGGTGGTGAGGAAGGTAGAGGAGCGAAGGAGGTAGCACAAAACTGGCAGCAGCGGGCACCAGTAAGTCCTTGGTTTCTTGGATCACATGGGCAAATGCCACTATTCCTTTGATCAACATTTTATTCTCCGTTTTCCTCTTAACATACAGATAGCTGTTTCAGGTCATGAAAAAGCACATTCAGTGAAATGAAACACAGTAGATATACACTAAGAAACTAAAAAGAAACATTGGCCATAAACTATCTTATTCCATTGAAATGTTTGGCTGACCTCATAAGAATGTTGATGAGGCTGTTCTTGGATGCCTGTTCTGAAATGCACCGCGGGAGGAATGGTGAGGATACACCGAGAGGCTCTTTGGCTCGCTGAACAAAAGGGTTTCTTCAGGCCTCGGGAGTGGGATGAAAATTGGCATGATCATCTTGGAGAATAGACAGACTCAAATAGAGAATTAGAACAGAGTTTCCAAAAAGGACATACTAGGGGAATAAAAGGCTAATAAACAGCACTTGCATTTGTAGAAAAATAAGAGGGAGAGTAAGTCAAGGAATTCAAAAGTAAAGAGAAACTCAATTCAAGTAGGGGAGGAAAAAAAAAAATCCTATAGTCATCACTATTCTTTGTAAATAAAAAGGGAACAAATGAAAATAAGATATCAGAAGTCAGGAAGAATTTATGAGAGTGCGGAGTTGGTTTTGTGGATGCCAAGTTCTCATTGCAGTGGGAACCCCGCTGAGTGTTGACTCTGGTGTGTGAACCCCTCACAGCTGTATTAGCTGCTGCTTGTGCTTGGCTTATACCTTGCGGCCCAGGTCAGTGGGAAAGCCAGCACCGTCCCTAAGTTCTGGAGCGCAGGCCAAAGCCAGATAGTGGAATTGGTTTTTTAATTTATTGCGCTGGTTCTTCTTATGGAAGAATGAAGAGTGTGAGAACATGGGTTAGGATTTTAGCCATGAGAGATGACTATAAAATATTAAATTGACTCCAACAACTTGAGTCAATTTGAAAACTCCCAGTCTCTTAGGATAAAAAACATAATCCTACTTAGAAATTCCTGGTGTGATCACAGATGGGGGATTGGTTCTTTTCACAGAGCCCGTAAATTAAAAAGCACATAATCCAAAGTCAATTAAATAGTAAGGTATTATGATAAATTCTCATTTCATTAACTTTTCAAAATATGAAATAACTATGCACTCAACCCAAGAAACTGACATTTTTTCCACTGACTGCAAAAAAAAAAAAAAAAAAACCCACAAAAAACAAAACAATGGCAATAACTCTAGTCATGGTAGCAGCTCACTGTAGGGTGACCTACCTTTGGAATAATTTATTAGTTCCAGCTGATGTTTACATTGTGGGGTTAGTCATGATGTTAGGCTTGATGAGAAACAGACATAACTAGAGCTGGGGATTCAAATATGTATTGCATTTCTCCTCCCGATCAGGGATAAATTTACTGTGGTCTCTCTCTTCGTAGGCTCATGCCAAAATCTGGCATCTCTACAATACTTCCTTCCGTCCCACTCAGGGAGGCCAGGTGTCCATGGCGCTAAGCTCCCACTGGATCCAGCCTCGAAGAATGACTGACCACAACATCAGAGAATGTCAGAAATCTCTCGACTTTGTACTTGGCTGGTTTGCCAAACCCATATTCATCGACGGTGACTATCCCGAGAGCATGAAGAATAACCTTTCATCTGTTCTGCCTGCTTTTACTGAATCTGAGAAAAAATTCATCCAGGGAACGGCGGATTTTTTTGCTCTGTCCTTTGGACCCACCTTGAGTTTCCAGCTCTTGGACCCTCACATGAAGTTCCGCCAGTCAGAGTCTCCCAGCCTGCGGCAGCTGCTCTCCTGGATTGACTTTGAATACAACCACCCTCCCATCTTTATCGTGGAAAATGGCTGGTTTGTGTCCGGGACCACCAAGGGAGATGATGCCAAGTACATGTATTACCTCAAAAAGTTCATAATGGAAACCTTAAAAGGTATGATTGCGGGTGAAGTTCTCATTTCCTGCTAAAATGCACCGGAAAACAATCTTTAAGAGTATCTATCATGAACTGTGTCATGAATTTATACTTTTTAATCATAATGTAGAGATCAGTTTTGGCAACAGCAGGAATGCGTTCAGGTAACACCTTTCTCATTTAGGGCCTTGGGGAACTGAAATTAATTTTTAAAACTCATTTGTAAATGACAAACGGGGTTACAATATTTGCGATTATTTAACTTTCAGAGCTAACTAATTTAGATTTTTAGATTAAATTGAGCATAAAATAAATCCCAGTCTATCTAGCTTTCTATAAGTGTTTTCAAATTCTTATTGTTTCGGCCAACTAAAATACTCTTTAAAGAAAAAAGGATATTCACATTTTCTAGAGAAAACAGTAAAATTGTTCGTGCTTTTTAAAGCCTTTATTTATTGTGTCATGTGCATTGCTAGGTGCCTAGGTTGGAAAGCGAGACATCTTCCCAGCCCTGTGAAGCATAGGTTAGCAGTAAGGAACTGTCCCCTCGAGGTGCTCGGAAATCCAAATAAAAACATATTGGAGAAAAGCCTATTCATTTGTGAGGATATTAATTTGGAGAAGTTATCTAGATTTGATTCCAGCCTTTTGTCAATAAGAAAAATCACTGGTTTACCAAACAAGAAGCATTGCACGTACTTTGTTTCTTTAAGTAGCGAAAGCCTCAGGTGTCCTTGCACCGTGAGGAGAGTGCCCAGCGGAGGGTCACGTTGCTCTTGTCCTCTCTCACCTTTGCAGCCATCAGGCTGGACGGGGTGCATGTCATCGGGTACACGGCCTGGTCCCTCATGGATGGTTTCGAGTGGCACAGAGGTTACAGCATCAGGCGTGGACTCTTCTATGTCGACTTCCTAAGCCAGGATAAGAAGTTGCTGCCGAAGTCTTCAGCCTTGTTCTACCAAAAGCTGATAGAGAAAAATGGCTTCCCTCCTTTACCTGAAAACCAGCCCCTAGAAGGGACCTTTCCCTGTGACTTTGCTTGGGGAATTGTTGACAACTACATTCAAGTAAGTCAGCTGACAGCATCAGTCAGCAGTCCCCCCACCCGAGCCCTGTCACTAGCAAGTAGCGCTTTCTTATTAGGCTGGCGGTCATGGCGCATCCTCTGTCCTGAACCAACTCGATAAGTGCACAATTGGCGACGCTGCACCCTCCTCTCCCAAAACCTTCCAATCTTCGTCTTGCACTTTAAATTAGAGAGATCCAAAGGGAAATACGTTAAAAATATGAATAATTAAGATCTGATAAGAGATAAGTCAGCAAAAAAAAAAAGATGAAACACTCTGTGTTAGTAGTGTGATTTTTCTTGTCCTTTTAAAAGCAGTTGAGTTTTTCTCATAAATAAGATACAACACAGAACTCCGAAGTCTCTGAGATACCGGTGGAGCTGCTGAGATTGAGGCGGGAACATTAGGCTGAGCCCTCCTGAGGCATAACTGTGAACCCCACGGAAACTTGCAGAAGTTCTTCCAGAAAGAAAACCCTTGCTCCAAAGATTCCCCAGTTGGAATGTCCTTTTTAATTATAGTCAAGGAAACGGTACAGAAATTATTCAAAATGATCCACCGATATTTATTGAGCATCTACTCTGTAGTGAGCTCCCCAATATTCTTTTTCATTTCCCTAATATTAAAGGGACTTGTTTTTCAGAGTTAGATTCAATAGTTGAGTAAGCATTTGTTGGAAGTCTAGTGTGTACAGCGCCCTGTGTTCGCGGCCGGGGTAGCTCGGTTAAGGCGGGGAGCGGGCAAGGGCAGGCTGAGATGGGAGGGTGACCCCTGCTTTCATAGGAGAAAGGGAGTCTGTTGAGAGCAAATGATGGACACAAGATGGAGTGACGGGCATGGTGGTAAGTACACGAGGTGGGGAGGGGATATGATTCAATAGTCTGATGTGAAAGTAGCAATATCCATAGACAGACAAGCAGCTTTAGCATGTTGGGTTCTGGAAGCCAATTCCTTGTTTCTACAAATCCCAACATTGAAAGAAGTATTTGGAAGAATGCTTGGATCTGAGGAAAGGCCTTCTATTTGAAACAGGTTGTTTTCTGGTACATATAAAATTGAGATTTTTATTTATAAGGAAATCAATCAACTCTACCCTTCATGCTTTTCTTGCTGGTTTGGATTATTGTCCTGCCTTTTTCAGACCATGCAGCTAATTTTAGAGGCAGCCTTGGACTCAAATCTCCTCCTTACGTGTGAGCGACCGAGGACCGCTGTGTTAGCAAGGGTGTCGGAACGCAGGAGAAATCCTTCTTAGCTCCATCCTGCTCTGCACCGGGGTTTCCCCCTGCTCCATCTCCCCTGCACCTCTGCGGTGTGGCATTTCCTTATCCTAACTTCTCAAAGTGGGACCTGCGTGCGATGGGGTTCAGGCAGGATCTGAGGTGGCGGAAGGTGAGGGAGTGAGGCAAGAAGGAAGGAAGAACATCTCCTGCAAGTTTTCCTTCCTCCTCCCGTTAGTGGGGGCTGCAGGACGATGGGATGGGCCTTGGTCCTTGTTCTATCTCTTGGCCGTCTGCCGCTCCCTGCTGGACATCGTGCCTTGCCACTGAGGGGCCCAGGCCCTGTCCTGGTCTGTGACAGCAGCCCGAGTCTGGCAGGTTCAGCCTGTGTGTGCGGAGAAGCTCACAGCCAGCGTCTCTGTGCAGACAGTGGGAGGGAATGCACCCAAGGGTGGGGGTGTTGGGGGCACCCTTTTTCTCCTGCTCTTTTCTTTTCTCCTGTTCTCCTGTTCCTTCTTCTCTCCATTCCCCGAAGGAGGGCTGTGTGCTGGTGAGAACTGGTAAGCAGTGAGGAAGTGTTAGGAGTACATCCTATTTCCTTGAGGGAGAAGCGACAAGTACAGCAGTGAACAGGGAGGGAGATGGGGAGGGGATTCCTTTTCCTACGCCCTAGAAGCAGTTGCTTTGGAATCTGATCTGAGGCTAGCCACTCAGCAGCCCAAGACCACCTGTCTCAGGTCACCCTGTCTTTTATCTCATCAGCTCAGACTCCCCACCCCTCCACCTGGCAGAGCCCAACAAACACAAAATTAAGTCCCTTTAACCCGAGGCAGACGTGAACTTCTCCGGAAGCTCTCTGGTGGGGGCAAGGCTGAAATTGCTATTTTCTACTTCTGGTTTTCTCCTTGGATTTTGTATGATACTGGCAGTGGCCTTCCCGATTGTCGTAGTAAAAGTAAGTTCTTGGTTATGTCAGTTCCGAGGAGTGTGCGTGTCTTCCTTCACAAGCAGTACTCTACACTTTTAAGACGTTATATTAAAGTCCTGAGAAGTTATTTTTAAGCCGCTGAAATTCATCTTTTCCTTCCTGGCTGGTTTTTCAAACTCAATATTTGAGGCATGCATTTCACCTGAACAGCTTTAAAAATAATATCCCATTAAGCACACATCCCTGTCTGAAGTCTGGCCTTAGGACTGTTCACATAGATTGTCACTTTACTCGGACCCAATTTCCCAGCTGACAGGTTTGTTTTCCCATAACCCCGAATGCTGATAGTTAATATAAATACAGAACATGCCACACAGTGAGGCTATGGAGCTGCTTTAACATTGGTCCCTGGTAGGAGAAAGTTTCTTGCATAATATAATAAATACATGCTTTATGCCCATTTCTTCTGAAAGGTACACCTTTGTTATTTCAGTTTTTCTTAAAAACTAAGTTAACAATTTAATAGAAGTTAGGTTTTAATTCTGCCTAAACACTCATTTCTATTTTTTTTTTTTGAAACAGAGTCTCACTTTGTTGCCCTGGCTAGAGTGAGTGCTGTGGTGTCAGCCTAGCTCACAGCAACCTCAAACTCCTGGGCTCAAGCAATCCTCCTGCCTCAGCCTCCCGAGTAGCTGGGACTACAGGCATGCACCACCATGCCCGGCTAATTTTTTGTATATATATTTTTAGTAGGTCAATTAATTTCTTTCTATTTTTAGTAGAAACGGGGTCTCGCTCAGGCTGGTTTTGAACTCCCGACCTCGAGCAATCCGCCCGCCTTCGCCTCCCAGAGTGCTAGGATTACAGGCGTGAGCCACCGCGCCCGGCCCTCATTTCTAAATGTCCTGCATTTTTAAGAAACAGATTCCTTCCCCAATCTCAGACGTTATACTCGTCTCTCACCTTTTGTTTTCAGATGGGTTGAATAAAAGCTGCTGTTTTGAAACAATTATGGTTTAAAAAAGTTCCAAATTTCATCAGCTCAGAGGTATATAAAAATAATCCAAACGATTTCTTCAAGCTCTGAACACTTTTACTCCAAACGAGCATGCAAATATCTTCTCTTGTGAAGCTGAGGAAACATGATTTGTGGGTGCATCACAGTGGAAAAATACTTCTGACAACATTCCCATAGCATTAGGGGCAATGCATGCGTGGGTGTTCTACAAGGGACAATTCTCCAGAAAAAGCAATTTCCCTTTGACACGCTGTTTTTTTTTTTTTTTTTTATTACTTTCCTTTATAAACACAGCACTTATCCCTCCAGAGAAACTAGAGTGCATTTGCAATAGGCCCGTAAAATGCAACAAAACCCCTCTACAGCTTCTGACCCCCATGGCTTACATGTGGTGGGAGAATTTTGTCATTCTGATTTAATAATCTGCCCACTTTTCCTAAATACCTATTTTCATTTTGAAGGGTTTTATATCATATGCTAGAGAACTATTGTAATCGTCATTGTTGCAGAAAAATAATTCAGGAAATATAAAAAGTATGTAAAGAAGATCCCACTAGCCATAGATGACAATATTGTTCTTTATTTCCACATTTCTCGAACTTTCTACTGTCAGTCAGAAGTAATTTGTTAAGTTCTGTCATTGACCCTAAAGCCAAAAAAAAGGCAAGAGTTTTGTTTTATTTGCTAGCTAGAGCAAACCTCAATTTAGAATGTAATGTTAAGTACAATTTAATTATAAACATCGTTTTATTTTCTGACTCTAACTGAAATTTTAAGATTGTTCTGTTTTTGTCTAGTTTTTCTTTTTTTTAAATTTGAAAGTCTCATACCATTAGTGATTTCTTATATTAAAAGAAAAGCATCCAAAAAGCATCTGTTTGCATAATCCAGACTACGGGTGCACGAGAATCATTAGTGCTTATCACCTGAAGTGACCAAACAAATTCAGATTTTTCTTTTTTACGTTAAAGTAACAGTTGAAGATGTAGAGAGAAGCGTGGGTAAAACAAATGTGTATGCAACAAAAGTAGAATGTTTTCTTCCTGAGGAATTACCATGCATGAAAAAAAGTTTAAATTCTCAGCTAGGAATGTTCCTATTTTTGCTCATCTTGTTGCTGGTTTTGTTGCTCAATATTGTTGCTCAATAATTACATTGAGTTACTTCTTCAGAACTGTCCAGGTGATGCTAATGTTTGCACCACCCTTTGCAGGTGGACACCACTCTGTCTCAGTTTACCGACAGGAATGTTTACCTGTGGGACGTACACCACAGCAAGAGGCTTATTAAAGTGGACGGGGTGGTGACCAAGAAGAGGAAATCCTACTGTGTTGACTTCGCTGCCATCCGGCCGCAGGTGGCCTTACTGCAGGACATGCACGTGACGCACTTTCACTTCTCCCTGGACTGGGCGCTCATCCTGCCTCTGGGCAACCGGTCGCAGGTGAACCGCACGGTGCTGCACTACTACCGCTGCGTGGCCAGCGAGCTCGTCCGCGCCAACGTCACCCCGGTGGTGGCGCTGTGGCAGCCCGCAGCCCCGCACCAGGGGCTGCCGCGGCCCCTGGCCAGGCAGGGAGCCTGGGAGAACCCGCACACGGCGCTGGCGTTTGCGGAGTATGCCAGGCTGTGCTTTGAGGAGCTGGGCCACCACGTCAGGTTTTGGATCACGATGAACGAGCCGTACACGCGGAACATGACCTACAGCGCCGGCCACAACCTCCTGAAGGCCCACGCCCTGGCCTGGCGCCTGTACGACCAGGAGTTCAGGCAAGCCCAGAAAGGCGAAATCTCCATAGCCTTGCAGGCCGACTGGATAGAGCCCGCCTGCCCTTTCTCCCAAAAGGACAAGGACGTGGCGGAGAGAGTGCTGGAATTCGACATCGGCTGGCTGGCCGAGCCCATCTTCGGCTCCGGAGACTACCCACGCGTCATGAGGGACTGGCTGACCCAGAGAAACAATTTCCTATTGCCTTATTTCTCGGAAGACGAGAAAAAGCTAGTCCGGGGCACTTTTGACTTTTTGGCTTTCAGCCATTACACCACCATCCTTGTAGACTGGGAGAAAGAAGACCCAGTGAAATACAACGACTACCTAGAGGTGCAAGAAATGACCGACATCACCTGGCTCAACTCTCCCAGTCAGGTGGCCGTGGTGCCCTGGGGGTTACGCAAAGTGCTGAACTGGCTCAGGTTCAAATACGGAGACCTCCCCATGTACATCATAGCCAACGGAATCGATGACAGTCTCCAGGTGGAGCAAGACAGGTTGAGGATGTATTATATACAGAATTATGTCAACGAGGCTCTCAAAGGTAAGGAGCCCCCAAAGCCGCAATCTCTTGAAGGTTTATGTCGCCAGAGGCTGCGACAGCTGATTAAACCCGCGTTAAACTCTCCCACATAAACGCACACCGTCACCCGCAGAACCAAGTGCTATCTGTTCCGTGCCACACTGAGACAGTCCGAGAGATAGCTAGTGTTTTTCCTGGCGATAAAGGAGTTTAGCTAAAAGTGGAAGACTGGCGCTCTCTAGCACCTACTCTAGATCTATAAAAGCATGACCCTCTCGTCTTCCATCTCTGCTTCATGTATATAAAGATTTAACCCAAGTACATCATAGTAGGTTTAATTATGTAAAGCCAGCTGTTAAATGGAGCTCGGCATTTGTCTTGATGTTTGCCTTTTTGTCTCTGAAAAAAGAAGCCTTTTCGATGAGATCTAATTGAGTCTGAAGTTTTCTTAAATGCTACTGAAAATTTCCCAGATGCACAAAGGTTATGTAAACGTGGTGTGTTGTGTGCCGACTATTTTAATAACTACTCTCCTGCCCTTTTGTTGTTCCAGCCTCCATACTGGATGGCATCAATGTTTGTGGATACTTCGCTTATTCGTTTAATGACCGCACGGCGCCGAAGTTTGGCCTCTATCGTTACGCTGCAAATCGGTTTGAGCCCAAACCGTCCATGAAACATTACAGGAAGATTATCGACAACAATGGTTTCCCGGGCCTTGAAACTCTGGGAAGATTTTGCCCAGAAGAATTCGCCGTGTGTACTGAGTGTAGCTTCTTTCACACCCGGAAGTCTTTACTGGCTTTCATAGCTTTTCTATTTTTTGCTTTTATTGTTTCTCTTTCTCTTATTTTTTACTACTCAAAGAAAGGCAGAAGGAGGTACAAATAGGTCTGAACATTTTCGTATTCATTAGTTTTGAAATAATTATGCACACACATCAGCTGTTAACCATTTGCACCTTTCAGTGTTGTAAAACTATAAATTTCATACATCTGACTTCTAGAAACCTTTTCTTTGTGGCTTATGAAAGAAGTTTTTTTTTGTTGTTGTTGTTAGAGGTGAGGTCACTCTCTGACACTCAGGCTGGAGTGCAGTGGTGTGATTATGGCTCACTGCAGCCCTGAACTCCTGCGCTCAAGTGATCCTCCTGCCTCAGCCCCCTGAGTAGCTGGGACTCCAGGTGCAAGCTGCCATGCCAATTTTTTAATTCTTTGTACAAAGGAGGTCTCGGTATGTTGCCCAGGCTGATCTCAAACTCCTGGCCTCAAGGGATCCTTCTGCCTCGGCCTCCCAAAATGCTGAAATTATAGGCCTGAGCCTCTGTGCCTAGAATAAAAGAGGTTTTGAAATTGGCATAGGTGACTGTATAATATCGAATAATGTGAATAGTGCCTGAATTTGTTCTCTTTTTGGGTATTAAAATTCTGACAGGTACCATAATTTCTGTAACACATGCTGTGATGAAAGGTTGAAAAATGGTAACCATACCAATGCCATATTTGCCCAGAAATTTGAACGACAAGACTAGGAATAGTTTCATGTGCACCCATTCCTAAATTTAATGTTTTTCTGGAAGTAGTAATTGCAAACGTTAGAATAAAAAGTTAAGTCCCAAATAACCATCTTTCATTTCAACTCTCATGACACTGCCTAATGGCCACACCTCTGTTGAATCAAGTTTCCCATGAAAAAGAAGATGGCAGAATATAGGAGAGATGGCAGAGGGCCCTGGGCTGGAATGTTCCTTTTAAAAGCAGTGTTTCCATACAATATGGCTAATGTTAATTTACATATCTGGTGAATGATATACTTAGCAAATTATGGAAGTTTATACTTTATATGACTTTTGAGGCTCTCTCGAAACCCTGGGTTCTTGAGTGTTTTGTCTCACTGGCACCCTGTGGAGGGCCTTGTGCCTGGGAGGCTTTTGTTAAATGTTTGCAGAAAAATAAACATGAATCCTGAGATGCTGGACTCTTCAGGAAGCATAAAGCAATTGTGAAATTCAGCCTACTGAAGTGGCTGTAGGTGTTGGAAAAGATGGAAAATTGCTTATTATGAGCAATATTATGATTAATTTGATTATACACCCTTTTATTTTTGAGCAGACCCTGGAATGAATGAAATGACCTTTCCTGAGAGAGTAAGGATGAAATAATAACTTCTTCAATGAAGAATGACAGCACTTTCATTCTTTCTTTAGATGTGCTGTAATTTCTTTGAATTGGTAGTTTTTAAAACTGTTAATAGATTCAAAAGCAATCAGTTCTGAACAACACTGGAAGATTTGTTTTTGTGATCTCTGAGGTCCACTTTATGTTTCTGCTGCTACTTTCTGTGGAAGTGGCTTTGGACTAGTTTTGCTTGGAACTTTTATATTGAAACATGCTACTGATTTTTGGAAAGGGCTAATTAGGTCTTATCCATTAATGCTCCTTAAACAAGTCTTGCGGGTTTTCAGACAGGGAAGTCTCTCTATTACACTGGAGTTGTTTTATAGATAAGTCAATATTATATCAGGCAAGATAAACCAATGTCATAACAGGCATAAGTTACCTCGTTGACACAGGGTCATAGTGTATCATAAAATGCTGTACTGTATGATATATCATCTTTAGAGGTGGTATGATTTTTTTCATGAAAGATAAGCTTTGGGTGATATTCTTTCTAAAATTGGACTTATTAAAATTGGATACTAGAGAATCAATAGTTTATTTTATGTATATATTTTTTCTCATTACAAGAGTAATATATGTTCATTGTAAAAAATTTAAAAACACAGAAACTATATGTAAAGAAAGACTAAAAATTATCTATAATCTCATAACCCAGAAATAGCCATTATTAGCATTTCCTTTGTATTTTATTTTACACTGAGTCAGAGAATATTGTACGGAATATATCTATTAATTTTTATTGTGCAACTTTCCTTTGTCATTAATCTTCAAAAGCATGATTTTTAATAGTTGTATTCTACCATATGAATATATCACAACTTATTTAACCATTCTTATTTGTTAGACTAGTTTCTTATTACTGTTAAATAATGAATACTGTTTAAAAATAATTTTCTTGCTACAGTATTTACTTTCATTTCCTTGAGTATAAGAGAAGTAATTCTGCTCCTTGGAAAAGTATTATAATAAATCTGCCTGCAACTTTGCCTTCTTTCATAATCATATGAGTAATTGCTAGCTAATTTTCAAAATTAAAAAAAAAATTGAGTTGACTAAGCCATAGAAAATACAGTGGGAGCAGTGAAGAAATGGGCATGATTGCAAGAAGCGTGAACTGCCAGGCTGGAAGCTGGTAGTGGCCAGGGAGGGGCCCCGGCTAGTACACCTGCTAAGCTGAGAGAGAATTTCAGTCCCTGAGACAGCAAAACAGAGGAAGAGCTGAAAGGGACAAAACAGAGGCGACAAAATCCTGAAGAGAAGTGACATTTCAAAACCACTCAACTACGTTATGATGAGAGCTTCATGCCGACTTTGAGTCCTGGTGGGCCTTGGGAGGCGGTGGCTCACCAGAAGAATGAAAGGAGAGAGGGGCCTCTCAGATCGGTCCTGGGAACACGCCAGGCAGACGGGGAGGAGCTGGAAGCAGGAGCCTTCTGGTCCGATGGGGTGGAGTGCTCTCATTTCTTAACCCACTTCTGAGAGTACTTGGTAAAACTGAAAAGAAAAAAAAAAAAAAAAAACACCAAAAACCAAAAAACCAAAAAAACCCCCACAAATCCCCACATTTACTTAATAATACTAAATTATTTTCTTGGATTCAAATTTTACAAATGTTGGATTGGCAGAGTCCTGAAGATAATTTGACAGAAGATATTTCTATATCAGTTTGCTGCACCATCTGCTCTTTTGAAACAAACTAATGACACAGAAAACATTGAAATTTGTATTTATTTGTTATTTAGTTGGTAAATAATTGAAGGCTCATTAATTAATTTTTATGTGATTCAAAAATTTGGGGTAGAAGTTCTGACTTTAGTATAATCTTGCAGTGTGTTTATTTTATGGTAAAACTAATGTTGAATGACCTTATTTGTCTTGTAGAAATTATTTTCCACTGAAACATTGCTTCTCAGTAAATTTCTAGCATAGGCTGACCTTTTTTCTGTTTAAAATCTCAATCGATCAGTTTGTAAGACTTGGTTTCCTTTCAATATTTTAGCAGTTATTGTCTAATTATGGCCTTGAGCATGTATGTTGCCTAAAGCATGTCGGCTTGTTTTGATCTCCAACTGCATGTGAGTCAAACTTTTGGCTAATTTATATCTAAGTTATTAGATGGGAAGTTTCATGGTGTTTCAAGGCCAATGCATGGCATTGCATTTAAGATAGGAACGTTTATAACTGTTTTTTTTTTTGCTTTAAATTATGACGCCATGAGTCTTTGGTACATAGCTCCAAGGCGTCAAAGTACAACATTTCAATCAACAGGGGGCAGTAGTGGTAAGTTAGAGAGGAGCAAAACAAAGATATAATTAGAGAAAGATTGATGGGTCGGGTGGAAATATTCAATTAGTAAAAGACAAGAATGAAAATGAATCAGCCTGTATTCCATTAGAACCTCAGAGCTATGAGGAAGAGTGCGGTCAAGAGCAGGTCCAGTGGGTGCAAGAAGGGGAGGAAGATCACAGGCAGTTGAGCAAGAAACTGGGATGCCAGAACCCAAGAGCTTAGAGGCGAAGCATTTCCAGTGTGCGTCAGGAAGACGGTGTTGAAGGAGAGGTGATGCCATGGGAGGTGGCGATGGGCAGCAGAGTGTCCATCTTGGTGTTGGAGGGGTAGGTACAAGGATGCCACACAGGATGGTTTCCAGGCTTGTGAGGCTGGGCATTCAAGTGCATCCAGAGAGCCGAACATGCTGTGGTGAGAAAGGGGAGCAGGTGAATGGAAAGGAATGGGCAAGGATTATGCCATGTCTCAAAGACAGAGACCTGCAACCCTGAGCTTTTGGAAGGAGTGAGCTTTTATAGAGTGGAGCCAGCCCCAAACCAGAGAGTGATCTTCCGTTCACTAGTTCTACTTGCAAATTTGCTTTATAACCTGGAGCAAGTCACCTAACCCACTGGGCCTTGTTGTTCTTGTCTATAAAAAGAGGGAGTTAATCAAGACCAGTGGGTTTCAACCTTGCTTACACATTGGAATCACCTGGGAGCTTTTAACAGTCCCCAGACCAATTAAGTCAGCTGGGGGGAACCCTGTTCCTAGCTGAGATTGAGAATCAGCGCTGCACTCAGCTCTCTCTCTGACAACTTCAATGCATATATGAATCACCTGGGGATCTTGGCCAAATGCTGGTTCTGATTCTGCAGGACTGGGGTGGGCCCAAGATCTTGCATTTCTAACAACCTCCCTGGGATGCTGTTGTTCTGTGGACCACACGTTGAATAGCAAGGGGCTAAGGGCTTTGTGTGTGTGGCTGATTGAGGGATAGTTTGTTTTAATGGGGGGGGGAAAAGAGACAGATAAGAACTATTGGTCTCTTTGTTGGGATGGTAGAAGGGACCAGAATGCAATCAGTATCACAGGTGGCAAACTGGTGCCAATTTAAGGCTGTCGCAATCAAAACCTTAAAGCACAATGTTCTAACCATAAGCAAATTCTCACCGTTAAGTGTATAATCATTGTTTGAAACAGAACTTTTGGGTCCAGACAACTATACTTTTTACAATTAAAAAGACAGACTTCTGAGTCTAAATAACTGAACATTTTAAAATTTAAAAATAATTTCAATATAAAAAATGAAAAAAACACAAAATTATCTGCTTTTTATCTTCTCCTTATTTTTAACGTATTAGAAGAGTAAGAGCCTTATGCTACAAACACGCTATATGCTCAAACATCTTCTGGTGAGCTATGTTCAACATGAGAGGATAAAAGCAGAATGAAAAATAGCAGATCCAGATTTATAACTAAATAAAATTATGTGTCTATTTACTGATAGACAAGATATAAATTATAAGACATAAAAGTTTTAAATGTATTGGAACTTTGTTCATCTAAAGAATATATCTTAAAATTTTACATGTTGAATGAAGACAGAATGAAACTAATCTTGAAAGAGGATTGGCTGGGTTGGGCAGCTTGAAGTC